AACCTACAGCATACAGAAGAGCTAACACTCCAGTTGAAAACATCAACAGTTGGAAGCTTGCCACAAGTGTGTGGGGACAAAGGACAGTTAGGATAGAAAGGGACTAGTATGGCAATACTAGTTAGAAGTGATGACTCTGGACAATAACTGAGTGTTGAAAGTAGGTAAAGGGATACACATGATAACCTTTCAATATCTGTGTTGCAAACCATTATGTCCAAAAGGAGAGAGAGAGAGATAGAAAGAGAGATAGGTAGGTAGGTAGGTAGGTAGGTAGGTAGGTAGATAGATAGATAGATAGATTGATAGATAGATAGATAGATAGAGATAGAAAGAGATACAGAAATGGAAAGACAGAGAGAAGAGAAGTGCCTGCCACAGAGGCAAGTAGAATGCGGTCGGGAGGGAAACTGGGGACATTGGTGGTAGGAAATGTACACTGGTGAAGGGGTGGGTTGTTGGAACATTATATAATTGAAACCCAATTATGAACAACCTTGTAACTGTGTATCTCATGGTGATTCAATGATTTAAAAACTAAGATAAAATTAGGAGAGTTTGAGAGATCTACAGCAACTAAAAATTTAAGGTAGCACTTCAATTATTAGAAAGCTAGGAACAATGGTTGTGGGAAGGGCAGGTCATATTTTATATGAAAACTATGCTGAAATATCTTAGTCCTAAATTGCACATGCACAGGTCAGAGTCAGAACTCCCTAATAATGATTAAAAAAACAGACAGATATTTGGGCTCCTACCAACATAGATCTGTATCTTCTCTTCCTTTATGAACTTGTCTTCATTTTGATGTCCTCCAAGTTTGTCAGATTTATTTCATGGACACTCTGGAAATAGCCCAGGGTTAAGGTTTATGCCCTACATGCACCATTTTAATCCCTGGCAGACAGAGTTCCCTGAGCATCCTGTGGAGGGCCCTGAGCACTTCTGGGTGTGGGGCCTGGTAGTCCCCAGAATCACAGGACTCAAGAAACACCACATCGAACTGGAGCAATAGCACAGTGGGTTGGACATTTGCCTTGCATGCAGCTGACCAGGGTTCAATTCCTAGCATTCCATATGGTCTCCGTGCACTGCCAGGAGTACAAAGCCAGGAGTAACCCTTGTGCAAAGAAAAAAATTAGAAAAAAGAAACACCACAACCTGGGTTTCCTGCATTGAAGTGCTGTGCCGTTGACCTAGAATCAACCCTGGGAATCCAGTGCCCCACTTGGAAGCCCCCCAAATTATTTCATCATTCGAGTCTGTTTCATTTTTTATTCTTAGAGAAGAATTTACCAGAGGAAAGTTTGTAGGTTAATATGTTTGTTTTGGGGTCAGACCCGGTGATGCACAGGAGTTACTCTTGACACTGAAGTGAGGATTCACTTTTGGCAGTACCCGGGGTACTATATGGGATGCTGGGGATTGAGTCCCGGTCAACAATGTGCAAGGCAAATGCCCTACCTGCTGTACTATTGGTCTGGCTCACATAGATTAATATTTTTAATGGTTTTTGTGTTGGTGTATAAAAAACAGTTGCACGGAGTGAGTGCTTTGTGGCATGGACAATATTGATTTGAGTTAACCTTTCTACTTTGCAAGGTTCTAGATTTTATTTTCCTCCTCTACTAAAGATGATTTGTGTTTGTGGTGTTGGTTTCACGGAGGGAACTAAAGGGTTTTTGGTGCATAGAATCTCATCTTCACCCAACTCTCAGCTGAAATCTGGGACTCTTGTCTCAAATGAAATGAGAGATCCCTGTGGGCCCAGAGGGAGAGAAATGGGGATTGTCAAATGGTGGGACTCCTCCCTCATCTTCTATTCAACTGACAGCACTTTGTCTGAAATTCTCACCACAAAAGAGGCTTTAAGTTTTCTGCCAAATTCCAGTGGCGAGGTTTGGTGAAGTCAAGTAAGGAACCCTCGTTTTTTATCAATATTCTAGAACACATGATGTTGTAGGGGGTTCAGCCTGGTTTTGTTTAAAGAGTGAATGAAGAAACATTTGACAAAAAAATGGCCCCACACAGTCTTTAAACAGCAGCCAAGTTTGACCCACCATGTGAAAACTGCAACATTCCTTCAGCTATGCTGTCCTGTGTCCAGGAATCTGAGTGCTGATGGTGCTGGGGCAGCAGACCTGGATCCCTGCTTTCAGCAGGCTCTCTGCTGCATCGCCCTTGAGCTCCTTCCCCTGCAGCCTGTCCTTCATCCTTCTCTGCGCAATCTCAACCAGTTTCCCCAGTGCTGCTGGACTCCCTAGGAAGATGGCTCTGATCCTTTATTCAGGGACAATGGTACAGTTCTTCCTCATTGGGCATGGGCAGGCGCTGGTGCTCACTCTAACCTTACATTGGATCACGTCCTCTTCCGGCTCCTGTTGGTGGCCTCCTTCTCAGGGGTTCTCTCTGGTGTGGATGAGAGTAAGGGTGAAGCTCTCCTGTAGAGCCCCAGTCGGCCACTATTTCCGAGTTATCCCACCCTCCTCAATCTCACCTACACCTGTGTGCTTCTCCATAGGCTGCTTCTCTTCATGGTAGGATTTCCCATCTTAGTGTCACTCTTGATGTCTTTATATGCCATACCTCTTTGCCTATACCCATCTTTTTATCCCCTTTGCCTCTTTGTCTACACCTGTCTTTGTATCTGGCCCTCAAACGCCTGTCTCACAGATATTTTTTGCCATTGAATGGGCTTTTTATATATATGTATATATATGTATATATATATATTTATTAGTGAAACACCATGAGGTTCAGTTGTAGACTTACAGGTTTTTGTGCTTGGGTTTCAGTTATACAATGATCATGTACCCATCCCACCACCAGTGCCCATTCCCCACCCTCACCAATCCCAGCATCCCTCCCACCCCCCATCTCCCATTACACCCTGCCTCTGTGGCAGTGCACTCCCTTTTGTTCTCTCTCTCCTTTTGGGTGCTGTGGTTTGCAGAAGAGGCATTGGGTGGCAATCATGTTTGGTCTATAGTCTACTTTCAGCATGCATCTCCCATCCGGGTGGATCTTCCCAGCACCCTTTATTTGGTTCTCTCTTCTCTATCTGAGCTGCCTTTACCCCGAGAGTGTACAGCTGGCTTCGAAGCCATGGAGTGAATCTCCTGATATTTATCACAGCTGTTCTTGGGTGCTAGTCTCTTATTTTGTTATTTTATCTTACCCAGATGAATGCAATCTTTCTATGTCTATCCCTCTCTTTCTGGCTCATTTCACTGATTTTGGAACTGGCAGCTCTCTTGTGCTACAGAGTTTCTTTAGGACTGTCACATTCATGCATTTCAAACTCCTTCCCAAACTCTCTGGACAAAGAGAAGAAGGTGGTCTTCGTTGTTCTATACCACCCTAAACCCCAAGTGAAATGTTAAAAGGTGTAGGCAATTTACAGAGCAGATCTCAGATTCTGGTAAACATGTATAGCTACAAGATAACTCAGACATTCAAATTTCATGTATTTCCTCAAGTGAAATGAAGGCAGATGTCACACAAAGACTTGAACATAGTATCTTTATTCTTTACCACCTCAAACTGGAAGCAACCCAATGGTCATCATCAGGTAATTTGACTAACACATTATGGCTGAGTCATCCGTCACATCTGACCTCAACAACGAAAAGGAGTCATCTACGGATCCATACAGATCATAATCACAATACAGAAGAGTATTTTTTGTATGGCTTAATTTTTTAATAAAATTCTTCCACTTAAATTAATCTGAGGTGGCAGCATGACAATGATGGAGGAAGAGGTATTTCAGGGGAATGAGGAAACATTTAGGGGGTGGGGATGCATCTGTCCATGGTACAGATTATGGTGATGGATCCATGATTGTGTGTCCAGCACCAGGTGATAATCGAAAGGAGGTAATTGATGTCTCAGTGAAAGTTGGTGGGGAGCACTTGGGATCTTTCACAGCCTTGCTCTGTAGCTGTGGTGAGGGAGAGTTTCCTAGGAAATTCAGTCTGCATGTCACACGGGGGAAAGCAGTGAACAGAGGAGAATTGAACTCTGAGAAACTTCCCCCTCATCTCAGTTTTTTGAGGTTGCTGAGGAAAATCAATCACTTATGAACTTCAATTTTTTTTCTTTTTGGGTTACACCTGGCAATGCACAGGGGTTACTCTTGGCTCTGAACTTCAATTTTTGAAGGCAAAATGTTGCTTTGGAGTTAAGCTCTGCGAGAATGAAGTTTAATTTCACAGAGGAATTTCATTGCCCTACATGGGACTATTTAGACTTAAAATTTCTATTAGTAAAAGTGCCTTAAATTATTTAAGGGGTATTCTCAGAGAAAGAATAAAAGAAGGATCTAAGAAGCATTCATAAGCAGTCAGATGTCAATGACTTTTCTACTCTTCAAGTATTAAAATGGTGTTTTTTTGTGATAGAGAGGTTTAATATACTACGAGGGGAAAACAACTAGTTAACAGAGGCAAAGTAGATCAATGCTAATTCACCCAGAATAAAAAGTAAAAGATTCTGTTTAGAATTTTCTCAGTTGGGTAGAAGAAAGATAATAAAATTCACCTGAGAAAAATTTTCTGAATAATTGTCTAAAAATCAGCAATACTACTGTATTATTATTTTATATAAACCTCACAGAGGGATGGGTGTGTGTATGTGTATGTGTGGGATTTTGTGTATTTTCCCAAACATGATAAAAGGATTAACTTTTGGGCCAGAGCAATAGTACATTGGTCAGGGCTCTTGCCTTGCAGGCAGGTCTGATTGACTCAGGTTTTATATCTGGCACTTCATATAGTCCCTCATGCACACCAGGAGTGATTTCTGAGCACAGAACTAGGAGTAAGCCCTGAGCATACTGGGTGTGGACCACCCTCCCTCCCGCCACCAATAAAAAAAGAGATTAATTTCTGGAAGGACTAGTCTAAGGAAGAAGATGGGATTTCACTTCTTAGAAACAAATAAATTCTAAGGAATAAGAACACATTCTGCCCTTACCTCTGGGTGTTTATTTCCTCCCTTTACCTCTTCCCAAAGACTTTTCTCAGCACATTCTTTACGTCCTTATTTCGCAAGCTGTAGATCAGGGGATTCAGCATGGGGACGACTGTGGTGTAGAACACAGAAGCTACCTTCTCCTGGGTCATGCTGCTGCTTGCAGATGGCTTAAAATACATAAATGTGATGGATCCATAAAATATCCCAACAGCTGTAAAATGAGATCCACAGGTACCAAAGGCTTTGGATCTGCCCTCGGCAGAGGGGATTCGAAGAATGCTGGCAATAATAAAGGCATAAGAGACGATGATGGTCCCAGTTGTACTTAGCATATCAAATCCACCTACGAATAACACCATAAGCTCATTCAGGTTTGTGCTGGAGCCCGAGATCTTCAGAAGAGGAACTATGTCACAGAAGTAATGGTGGACGACATTGTCCCCACAGAAGGAGACCTTCGCCATGGCCAGTGTATGGGCTAAAGCTCCAGCTATTGCCATGGTATAGACCCCGGTCACCAAGACATTGCAAACCTTCTGGGACATGGTGACATTGTAGAGCAGAGGACTGCAGATAGCTACATATCTGTCATATGCCATGGCAGAGAGCATAAAACACTCTCCAATAGCAAAAACACAAAAGAAAAAGAGCTGAGTCATACATCCAGGATAAGAAATATAATTTTTCTCCCATAAAAAGTTTCCCAGGAGTTTGGGGGTAACAACTGAGGAATAAAAGAGATCTATAAATGACAAATTACCAAGGAAAAAGTACATGGGAGACTGGAGCTTGGAATTGAAAGCAATCAGGAGGATCATGCCCAGGTTCCCTACTATAGTGACCCCGTAGATGCCTAGAAACAGAAAGAAGAGAGGCAGCTGGAGTTCTGGCTGGTGTGTTAATCCTTCCAGGACAAACTCAGTCACAGTGGAGTGATTGCACCTGGTCACTTCCTTCAGGAGACAGAGCATTGATACAAGGAAAAAGAAATAGCACAGCTTGTCAGATACCTATGTTTCTTTCATTCTTAGTTTTTTTTAAATTAATCTTTGTCTAGAGCAAAATGGTACCCACTACTAATCACATATAAAGAGAATTGTTAGTTACATACAGTGCTGTAGTACTCTCTGTAGCACTGTCCTCCTGTTGTTCATCAATTTGCTCGAGCCAGCATGAGTAAAGTTTCCATTGTGAGACTTGTTACTGTTTTTGGCATATCGAATATGCCATGGAGAGCTTGCTAGGCTCTGCCATGCAGGGGGGATACTTTCAGTATCTTGCCCGGTTCTCTGAGAGGGACGGAGGAATTGAACCCAGGTTAGCTGAGTGCAAGGCAAATGCCCGACCCAATGTGCTATTGCTACAGTGCAGTACGATTAATATATTTGTAATTACTATGTTTTTCATCCGGGCTGGAGCGATAGCACAGCAGGTAGGGCGTTTGCCTTGCACATGGCCGACACGACCAACCCAGGTTCGATTCCTCTGCTCCTCTCAGAGAGACTGGCAAGCTACTGAGAGTATCTCGCCCCCCCCCCCCCCCGGCAAAGCCTGGCAAGCTACCCGTGACGTATTTGATATGCCAAACAAAGTAACAAGTGTCACAATGAAAATGTTAAGGGGCCCGCTCGAGCAAATTGATGAATAATGGGAGGACAGTGACAGTGACAGTGATGTTTCATCCAGGGTTGTATTAATCTTCCAATAGATTTGAAATTGATATAAAGGTATATAGCAAAAAATATGATAGCGTGATTTTAAATTTGGTTGGAGAGTATGTGAGTGGGACAGAGATGATTCTTGCGTTCCTCCCATCATTAAACTATCAGGACAAGGAGACACTTAATAACTGTGGCTTGGCTAACACTGCGGAGTTAGCACCCCTGTGTTATCAACATCAAAGTTTTATTGAGAATCTAATTGATCTAGTTAAGGATCTCATCCCAGGGCCAGAGTCAGTACAGGGGCAGGGTGCTCGGCTTGAATATAGCCCATCCTGGTTCCAACTCCAGCGTCAGATACAGTCCCTGATTCAGAGTCAGCAGTACTGAACCCAACCCCCACTGCTTCCCACAAAGGAACCTAATTTCAGTGTTTGTAGCTGGCACTGTATGGACACTGGTTGCCACTGACCATGGTCTCAGTGCTCCTTCAGTAAGCACTGGGCATTCTGCATTATCACCATTATCACAGCATTCCTAGTATAGAGGGAAGTTCCGATCATCGGTGCTACAAGTTAAGGAGCACTTCACCTTAATTCTGCAGCTCTGTGCAGGAGTAAATGGGCACTCAGCTCTGCTCTGTATCTCTAGGAGGAGCTGAAATTCTCTTGTGTGCGCAGGTAGGAAAAGCAGTGAAGGAAGGAGAAAGTTAGAGATCTTTCCCCATGATTACCCCTATGAACTTTCTCATTGTGTGCTCACAGGCAAGAGAAAATTCTTCCTCCAGTTGCTTTGAGTTCAGTAATAGCGACATACGTTTGGGACTACTGTCATTTTCTGGCATTGCAAACATGTAAATTCTAAGTGATCCCATTTTGTGGTGAATGCTTTTGCAAAAGGACACTCAGAAACCGAGTGTCCAAACATAGACTGCCATCAAGTTTGTGGATTTTTGCTTGTAATGTGAAATAAATTCACACATTTTGCTCTATGACAGATTTCATCTTGCATTGCAGATCTTATTTAGAGAGTAGTTTACTAACATCTTAATATATACAAAAAGAAATCAAAGGGCAGCTCCTGGAAATGAAAGAGAAATAAAACCCCATCCTTACCATCTTTAAAGCTCTGTTCCTGTTCCAGTTGAGCTGCTGATTCACTTGTACCTTTTAGAAAAGTAATTCTCCTTTTGTTTTCTAATAAAGAATGAGTTGGGTGGAAGATCTATGCTCTACAGTAACGCCAAAGAGTAAAGCTGCAACTCCCTTCCCTCCCTATATCTGAACCACCATTTTTAAGCAAGGGAATATTTGGACCTGTTTGCAGCTCTCTGACCTCCAAGGGATGAATGAGTGTAGTATTCTCCTAGGACCCCAGATCCAAGGGAGACACTCAAACGTGAAATTGTCCTGAGAAGACAGAAACAAGGAATTAAATTTGCATCCAGAATAATGGTGCATATAGAATATTGATGTCCCCAATGTACAGAATTCAGTGTTTGATCTTAATTCTTTCTTTTTCAGTTTAATTTGTATACTTACTTAAAAAAATTTTTTATTAGTGAAACACCATGAGGTACAGTTGTAGACTTACAAATTTTTGTGCTTGGGTTTCAGTTATACATTGATCGAGGACCCATTCCTCAACCAGTGCCCATTCTCCACCACCACTAATCCCAGTATCCCTCCCACCCCCCCCCCACCCCCCACCCCCCATTCCACCCTGCCTCTGTGGCAGGGCACTCCCTTTTGTTCTCTCTCTCCTTTTGGGTGCTGTGGTTTGCAAAAGAGGAATTGAGTGGCAATTTTGTTTGGTCTATAGTCTACTTTCAGCATGCATCTCCCATCCTGGGCAGATCTTAATTCTTGAGGGGAGAAAACAGTTTTGTAGGACTTGGAAAGGATTCTCATCTCTAATGATTGTAGGATTTTTACAGAGAGATATGATTCAATTTGGTGGACCAACTTCTCCTTTTTTTCAATGGGCAGTTTCAGTTGTGAGTGCTGTACTACAAAAACAGTATAATAACGCTTGCTTTTTTTAACCTTGTGCTATCATCCGGATCAAATTTTATTCTTGAAGATTCAATGGATATTTTAATTGTATCTTATTAAAATGTTGGTGTTTCCTTGCTGATAGATCGATAGATCAACCAAACTAAAGTTCAGCAAGGAAACACCAGCATTTTAATAAGATATAATTTAGCCATCCTCCAGCCCTGAGCGCTGCCAGGTATTACCCCCAAACAAAAAGAAAAACAGTGTTAGTATTTAGGATGCTCACTTCTAGCTCTTTACTGAGTAAGCAAACAGTTGTTACAACTAAAATATCAAAGTTTAAAGTGGGGAAAGGGCAGAAGAACAGGTGCATTCAGTGGTCGCACCCGGCGATCGATGCTCAGGAGTTACTCCTGGCTCTGTATTCAGGAACCACTCCTGACAGTGCTTAGGGGACCATATAGGATGCTGGGGATTGAATCCAGGTCGGCCGTGTGCAAGGCAAATGTTCTGCTCACTGTACTATCACTCTGGCCCCAACTTAAAGACTTTTAATATTTTCTCACCATTTCTGATAACTCAGTTTACTCAATTCTATGTTTTAGGGAACAATTTCACACCTCTTCAAAAATTATATTATCCTATTCTGACCTCACTCTCAATGTCCCACTCTCCCTCTCTTCCCTCCTTTGCTCCCTATCCTGTGGGTAACCCAGTTCTGTGGTCTGAATCCACCTGTTCTTCTGCTGTTTCCTTTGTTCCTGGGCTTTGCTTCTCTAGGCCCCTCCATACTCAGAATGGCATCCCTATTTGTCTCTCATTTGCTTGGCCCCCCTCCAGTTTCATCCAAGATTTTTCAAAATAAAAGATTTCATTTTTTTCCTTAGGCTGTTCAGTATTACATTGTGTTTATAGTTCTCTTATCCATTTTTCTATTACTGTTCACTTGGGTTGCTTGCACTCCACTCTTGTAAATGATGTTTTGTTAAGCATAGATATGCATGTTTCTTTTTGAATAAGAGCTTTTGTGTTGTTATTTTTGATGTATACCTAGCAATAGGATTTCTGAATCAGGTGGTAGATAAATTTTAATAGTTTAGAAGTTCTATACACTGTAGTTCATAGACCTCAGACCATTTATATTTCTTCCAGTGGTGCAAGAGTGTTCTTTTGTTACCCTCCACACCCCTTCCAATACTTGTTGTTGGGGCCTTTTCTTTCTAAGCCATTCTCATTGACATGGGGTGGAACTTCAATGCTTTGATTTGCATTTCCTAATACAAAGTGATAACACACAGTTATTCATACTTGACACTTGTGTGTTTCCATTTGATAAATGTATGTTCAGTTGTGCCTTTGTGTTTTTAAGCTTTAGGAGTTCTTTATCATGAGATCTTGGCTCTCAGCTCTTTGTCAGGTGTATTGCACTCAGATATCTTCTCCCATACTGTAGGAAGTGTTTTTCATTTTGATTATTGTGCTTTTAGCTTGATTTAAACTCATTTAATTTTGGTTTTATTTTTCTTATTGTTGCAGTTAGTTTCCAAAGATATCCCACTGCAGTGTATTGCTGTGGTCTTATAACATTACTGTGGTTTATAAAATGCTTTCTGGTCTTATGTCCAAGTCTTTATTTGATTAATTTAATTTAATTTTTTTCAAATCATGCATAAAAGTTAACTCAAAATAAAGACTTGGACATAAGACCAGAAACCATTTTATAAACCACAGTAATGTTATAAGACCACAGCAATACACAGGTTAGTGGAGATTCTGGACTTGTCTGCAGAAGTTATGGGTTTACATCTAGATTACTTTTGCACACACCTATTCCATTTTTTCCAGATGTCATATTGAAAACACTGTCTTTTCCCCACTTTAAACTTCGAATCCTTTATCATAAAACTAACTTCCCATGTACCTGAGGATTTGATTCTTGCCTCTTAATTGCATTCCATTGTCCATGTGCCTGTTTTGATTATGACACCTCACTTTTTTTTTATTACTATAACCCTGTGGAGCAATAGCACAGCGGTAGGGCATTTGCCTTGCACACAGCCAACATGGAAGACCCGAGTTCGATTCCTCCGCCCCTCTTGGAGAGCCCGGCAAGCTACAGAGAGTATCCCGCCCGCACGGCAAAAGCCTGACAAGCTCCCCATGATGTATTCGATATGCCAAACACAGTAACAAGTGTCACAATGGAGACGTTACTGGGCCCGCTCGAGCAAATCGATGAACAACGGGAGGACCGTGACCGTGACTATAACCCTGTAGTATCGTATGAAGTCAGAAACACAATGTTGCCATTCTGCTATTCTTAGGATTGTTTTGGCTATTAGGGTCTTTTAGTTTCATATGAATTTCAGTAATATTAGAAAGCTTTTGATGGGTCAGAGGTTCAAGTATATATTTTCAGACACTTGTGACTGAATAGGAGTGTCGAGTAAGAATACAAAAATAGGCAGTGTCAGACCAGGGGTGTTTAAGGTAAAATGAGTTAATAGTCAGAACATTTGTTTGAAGGTGTTTCAAGCAACTAGCTCAGCAGGAAGGTGATGGTTTTGAGGTCTATGTGTACAGATTAGTGGAGATTCTGGACTTGTCTGCAGAAATTATGGGTTTACACCTAGATTTACTCTTTTCCGGAAGTGTGGCTTTGGTAAATTGTCTTTATTTCTAATTTCTAGGGCAATGAATGTCACATGTTGCTCCACCAATAGTTATAGAAGAAAGAAATTGCTACGAATAAGCATAATTGGCAAATATAAAAATAACAATATCACTGTATCACTGCCATCCCGTTGTCCATCAGTTTACTTGAGCAGGAGCCAGTAACGTTCTTATTCCTCCCAGCCCCGAGATTTTAGCAGCCTCTTCTTACTCATCTTTTCCCAACGATTGGAGTCTCTTTCAGGGTCAAGGGAATGAGACCTGTTGTCGTTACTGTTTTTGGCATATAGAATACGCCATGGGGAGCTTGCCAGGCTCTGCCTCTGTGGGCAAGATAACTCTCGGTAGCTTGCCGAACTCTCCGAAAAATAATAATATAGAATAGAGAAATGTTATACCTGTTCCCTCCTGAGGAACACCTCCTGCCCTCTAATCCCTGTAATTTGGGCACCACCTCAAAGGATTCCCCACCCTCCACCGACACAAGATGTGTTCATGGTCCTAAGGAGGCAGCTGTCTGGACAAATTCTTACTTTATAATTAATTAGACATCATTTGCATAGAAGCCGTCTCATCACCAAAGCCCTGTGACCAAGGCTAACTTGTTTTTCATGTAATGAAACTGGATTATTTAGGTTTAGGGAGAAAAGGGGCTTGTCCAAGATGTTATCTGATAAATCACTGAACAGGATGGAGTCCAAATGGTTCCTTGGATTCTAAAGCCAAAATTTCATTATTAAGTTGATTAAAACTGTTATCTTTGTATTAGAAAAGAATTGCAGGAATTCATATATTTTGTTTTCCTCACGTAGACAAAGATGTGGGTAAAGTAAGTAAAAAGTAAAGGCCCTCCCATTGATCATCGATTTGCTTGAGCGGGCCCAGTAACGTCTCCATTGGAGACTTTGTTGTTACTGTGTTTGGCATATCGAATACGTCATGGGGAGCTTGTCAGGCTCTGCTGTGCGGGCAAGATACTCTCAGTAGCTTGCCGGGCTCTCCGAGAGGGGCGGAGGAATCGAACTCGGTTGGCCATGTTGGCTGCGTGCAAGGCAAACGCCCTACCACTGTGCTATCGCTCCAGCCCAAAGATGTGGGTTAAGAATATGAAAGTGTTATAGGATGTTTTTTCTCTATGTCCCTGAATTTTAGACTTTTTATCTAGTAAATTTTAGAAATTTCATATTCTCAAAAAGCCATAAAATTCTAGAAAAATAACAAGTTTCTAATAGTAATAAAGAAGTATTATTCGGCTTAATGATAAAATTTGATAATGAAAAAGTTTTTTCCTTCTGTAAACTGTTACTAATTAATATGAACATGTTAGAGGGGATTTGTATATTCAGCCTTTATTAGATATGGCAATTTAAAATTTGACCAGAAACTTTTAGTTTAGCAAGAACAATTGTACAGTGGGTTTTATGTACATGTATATACAGTATTCACACATACATTTGTGCATACACACATACATTTGTGTTTATTTATTTAGACTTTGCAACTTTAAATATATGGTAATGCACATTGAAAATACACATGCATATGTAGATTTGACCAGTAGTTGAATATGCAGACTGAGAAATGTATTTTTTATGTAATTATGAGACTACAATACATAGTATATATACATTGAAAATTAGAACATTTAAAGAGGATCAATAAATCATCCCAATGTTTTAAATTGTCTTTGGCTTGAAACTAACTTGTTACCTATAAGAATAAGGAGATATAATATGTAAGACAAAATCTGTGTCTAAAAGAACTTTTTTCAAAGTACTGTTTTCTATACAGACCTGGAAAGAATTCCACTATTAAGAACCTTCTTCAGAGATTCTTTGACATCCTTGTTCCTGAGGCTATAGATTATGGGGTTCAGCATGGGAATCACTGTAGTATAAAATACAGAGGCCACCTTCTCCTGGGTTGTGTCACCAGTAGATGGTTTAAAATACATGAAGATGATGGAACCGTAGAAGACCCCAACTGCTGCCAGGTGGGAGCTGCAGGTACTGAAAGCTTTGGACCTGCCTTCTGCTGAACGGATGCGCAAAATGCTGGCAAGGATGAAGGCATAGGAGATGAAGATGGCCAGTGCACATGCAAACACATTGAATGAAACCAGCATCATGACCAGAAGTTCTTTGGTGTAGTCTCTTGAGCAAGATATATTCAGAAGAGGCAGGATGTCACAGAAGTAATGGTGGATGACATTAGTTCCACAGAACGAGCGACTAGATATGTAGCTGGTATGAACCAAGGCACCAAAAGCCCCCATTATGTACACACCAGTGACCAACAAGAAACAGACTCTGTGGGACATGGTGACATTATAGAGCAAAGGGCTACATATGGCAACATAACGATCATATGCCATGGCTGTCAGCATGTAGGAGTCATCAATCCCAAAGAAGGCAAAGAAAAAGAGCTGGGTCATGCACTCAGGAAAGATGGTAACATTCTTCTCTGATATGAAGTTCACCAGCATCTTGGGAATTATGACAGAGGAGTAGCAAAGATCTATGAAGGACAAGTTACTCAGAAAATAATACATGGGGGTGTGAAGCTGAGAACTGATCCTGATTAAAAACACCAGACCCAAGTTTCCTGTCATGGAGATGGTGTAGATCAATATAAAGAGGATGAAGAGAGGAATCTGGAGTCCTGGTTGGTCTGTCAACCCTTCAAGGATAAACGCAGTCACCAAAGACTGATTTCCTATATCCATTCTCCTAGTTGGGGCGGGCTGAGTGGTTCAGAAAAGAGATTCTCATTCGAGACATATGACCCTCCAACAGGACTGTGTGATGCAAGATCTGATGAATGACATAATTTTGAGCTTACACAGAGTCCAGAAAACCAAGTGACTGAAATTCACCTTTAATGGAAACCATCGCTTCATGTGGCCTGGGCTCTTGCTCTACTCCAGTGATATTTGGAAGTGGAAATTATTTTTGTCTCCATAAGTTGAATTTTAGATTCTCCTCAAAGTGAAAAGTAACCCTACCGTGACTTAGTCTTCTTGCGAGAAACCATTCAGTTTTGTTGCCCTTGTCTTGCTTTCCAATTCTGCACACCTGTTCTCTCCTCAGGTGACATGGAGTTCTACCTTATCTTGATTGTTATTCCTTGAGTTTCCCTTTAGACTTGGACCTTATCAGAAGTCTTGGTTTCCTCACAGCTTTTCACTTGGATACTGGTTTTGACTTTGGCTTTTCATTCTTTTGTCACATTATACACAAACAAGAGAGAAACCGACATGCTGGAGCTAATGGTAGGAGGGCCATGGTAGACAGGAAGCTCTCCAGAGGTGAGGGAAACTGAGGGAGAAGAACAACAAGGTACTAGCCTATGTTAGGGACATTTTATTTGTAATATCATTTAATCTTTGTAACAACCCCATGAAATGGGTCATATTGTAGTTTCTAAGGATTTATTAGAGTGGGGGAAGGCAAATAAATGAATCATATGAATCACAAAACTTGAAATAATGTTATTTTTAAAATTTTGATTTTTTTGTTTTGTTTTGGGGGCCACATCTGGCTGTGCTGAGGACTTATTCCTGGTTCTGCACTCAGCAATCACTCCTGGTTTGATTGGGAACCATATGGGGTGCCAGGGATTGATGAACCTGGTCAGCTACATGCAAGGCAAAAGCTCTACCTGCTGTTCTATTCCACAGCCTCAAACAATATTATTTTATAGATGAGTTTCTTGAACATTTCAGAGTCACAGCTAGTGTAGGAATCAGAACTAATGTTTTTAATTTTTTAACTTTATCCTTTTTCATTTGGGGCCAGTAAAATGTGTGAGGTGGAGGGCAGAGAACCTAGGAATAAATGACATGTAGTTTCTACTAGACTATTTCATGAACAGACAGTTTCTCTACATTTTACCAAACCAAAATGTTGTGCTTTCTTGGAAAATCAGATTTTTTAGTATCCCACAGATTTCCTCTCTTTAATTTTTAATTCTCATTTTCCTATGAATAAGTCAGGTGGAAGTCTATTTTTTTCAAAAACAATTTTTAAATATCATCTCCCACAAAATATATGGTTTCATGTAGCTTCTATAGATTCATTTTTTCCTTCTCATGCACTTTATAACTTTAAGAGCCCATGATATTTCTTAAAACTGTGTTTCAATCATTGTGGGGTGGTTAAAAAGTTGAGTTTCAGAAGGCAGATCAAATCAATCTTAGACATGATTACATTCTAGCTGTGCGATCCTGAACGAATTTCAGAAAGCTATCAATTTTGGCTGGAGAATTTTTATTGTCATTGCCATCTACTGTCCTAGACATTTAGAGCCTTGCCTTTATACTTCTTTCTGACCTTTGCTGCTTGACTACTGTCCACTGGGGCCCAGAGCTGTGGTACAGTAGCCCATCTGTCTCCTGAGGGGATGTGTTTGGAGTAGAGTCTGGAGAGACCCTGACATATCGCTTCTCTTTTGTCTCATCCCTCATGTTCCTCCTTCAGGGGGCATCTGTAAGTCCCATTCCCAATTTGTCCCATTTTTGATAAAGCAACACTTTCAGACATGCATAAGCACCCATTGTTTTTCTTTTGATGATTTGTCTTTGCCTGGATTGCATTTCCCTTCTTTATGTTTTGTACTTTTCTTAGACACAGTTTAAAGTGAGTAAACCATACACAGCGATATGAATTAATTCAGGGGCTGGAGAAACAGAGCAGAGGTTGTTAAGGCATTTGCGTTGGGCTGATTCCTTGAAATCCATCAGCATGCATGGTTCCCTGAGCACTGGCAGGAGTGATCCCGAGCAAAAGAACCAGGAGTATGCCCTGGGCACAGCCCATGTGCTTCCCTTCCCCACACAACCCCCCTGAATATTTAGTGTTGGGTTCCATATCAGACACAATTCCTGTCATTAAAAATGCATTCCTGAGTGGATGAAGTGAATAAAATTGACTTGTCTCTCTCCCATTTGCTACCTTCTCCTCATACACTAGAAATCTTGACTGATCAATATCTGAGGAGTGCAGTTATTCAAACTTCCTATTTGAAGAAGTTTGAGGACTGGAATGCTTTAAGTCCCATTTTTACATATTTGTATCAGGAACATCTAATTTAATTGCAGTCTCAGAATGAATTTCTCATTTCTAGAATTATAACCAGGAGAGAAAAACAGATCAGGAAACCAATGACCTGGAATAAAAATGTCAGAGACAAGCCAAAGTGCCTTCCTTCTTTCAAGCTGAGTTTTGGGGGCTCCTGGATTCTCTAGTGGAAAGCATGTTCAGAAAGACATCGTTTTTTGACCCTGGGTACGGCAATTTATGAAGTGAGTCAGGAATCTGGAGCAAGTTTGGCTCCTAGGGTTGACACATTGCTAATCAGACGGGCTAGAGAATAGGGGGATGGTAATATCCTACCCCGAGCATGATATTACAATATTAATAAAAAAGTTTTATTGAAGTACCATTGGTTTGTAACATGGCATAAGTTTCGGGGTGCTGCACTATACCAACACCTGCACTATAGTGGTCAGTCCCCAAACTCTAACTTCTCTCTCCCACCAAAACACTCCAGTTTCATTGCCTCCTGCCCTCCCCCTCTGAGTACGGCCAATTTGATTTTTGTTTTTTTTTAATCTTTAACATATGAATGAAATCATAGGGATTTGTCTTTTCCTTAAATTGTTTCACTTGGCATAAAACCATGTTGTTATGTTGCAAATGAAAGAAAGGTTAGAAATATAAAACACTATTTCAAAGGCTCTGTGCACTCCTCTTGTCATTGAAGCACTTCTTTGCAAGTAATTGAGCTATGGAAATAACCCGAGTTCCTTGGTGGATGGATAGAGTAAGATGGATTACATATACATTTTATGCAAACAATACATATTTTATACATATATATGCATACATATACAACATTATGTATACATATATATTTTATAATATATACATAAATATACAATGGAATATTTAGTCATAAATATAAAATTTGGGGGCCAGAGTGATAGTACATTTGCCTTGCACACAGCTGACCGGGTTTGATCTCTGGCATCCCATATGGTCCCCCAAGTACCTCAGGAGTAATTCCTTAGTGCAGAGCCAGGAGTAACACCTGAATATCACTGGGCGTGCCCCCGAAAGTCAATCAATCAATAAAATTTTGCCATTTGCAATAACGTGGCAATATTATGTTATTACTGCATATGAAAATGCTCTATAAATTTTAAATTCAGTGTAAATGAGAACTGTTCTTGTGAATAATCTTGCTTTGTGGAAAGAGCTGAGATTTTGCTGTCAAAGAATAGCTCTAGGAGTGGACAGAGAAAGGGTCGGCCTGCATTGTGTTCTGTGTTTGCCCTGCCAGGAGGGTGCGGCAGACACTGCCTGCTTACTGCCTTCCACTGGTGGGAAAACTTCGATCTGTTCAGGAGAGGTTTTCATTGCTTCCCTCAAATTAATTTCAAATAGAGTAGCAACAGGAGATAAGCAATTTTATTACTCACCTGAGCCCAATGACCAGTAAGGTGCTGAATAGCTTCTATCGATTTTTATCTAAGGTTTCACACACAGATAGTTTTATCATCAAATGCAGAGAACTCAGAAAAGTTCTGATTCTGGCAAAATGAAGGAGTGGATTCTGCATAAAAACTCACAGAGTGTTGATGCGGAGCAGAGTTTCAGGCTGGCTCTGCAGGACAAGAAAGGTAATTCGTCTGACCCTTAGCCCTCTATTACTGAAGGAAATTGTATTTGGATCTATTTGAACCTGAAGGAGATGAATGTAAGCCAGGGTCCCCAGAGGGGCTCGTGGTCCCAATAGTTGGACTCTACAGGGATGAAACAATTACAAAGTATGTGTTTATGGCAACAGAGTGGCATTCTTGTTGTTCCCTGGAGCATTTCAAACAAACTCAAAAGTTTTCTTTTTCCCAAGGACTCTTAGGAGTTTTTCAACAGAGAAAATCCCTTTTGTAAATTTCAATTATTGACCATTTTCCAGTTTTTAAAATTAAACTTAAATGCAGTAATATAACTAAATCTTGCCTATAAAATACAGGTAAGATAATGGTAGTGTGAGTCACAGCCCATCATAATGTAGATTGTTGCTGTTTCTTCAGAAGTTTCCCTCATGTTCTCCCTCAGGGAGTCCCTCTCTACCCCAAAGGAACTGTTGTTTAATTGAATTGTTTCATAGTCAATTGGGCTGGAGCAATAGCACAGTGGTAGGGCGTTTGCCTTACACGCAGCCAACATGGCCGACCTGAGTTTGATTCCTCCGCCCCTCTCGGAGAGCCCGGCAAGCTACCGAGAGTATCTCGCCTGCACAGCAGAGCCTGGCAAGCTACCCGTGATGTATTCAATATGCCAAAAACAGTAACAACAAAAGTCTCCAATGGAGACGTTACTGGGCCCGCTCGAGCAAATCAATCAACAATGGGAGGACAGTGACAGTGACAGTTTCATATTCAATTAATATTGCCAACTTGGGCACACCAGAATAGGTGAATTCACCTGGTCTGAATAGTCACCAGCATTTCATGCTCAGCAACATTTTCATGAGATTTTTGTGTTGCCTTGCTGTCAGTGACATGGAAGTAGACAGGGCAGGGTAGGGTGTAATCCAACCGTGTGACCCAGGGATTGGATTAAGCACAAAAGACCCACCCTACCAGTACCAGATAAATACCTCACCTGCAGACCTCCACTACCTCCACTACCTCCACTACCCAGCTGCTGCCATGCTCCAGGATGCTTTCTGGATGTTCGGGCTGAGACTCACGCACAAGTGAAGCCCCACAGAACAAGATAAGTGGAACTCTGAGACCTTGGCCTCCAGGCTCAACAAAGATCCTCTGCCTGCTCCCACCAACCACAGGCGACGAAGGGAATAAAAACCAGGAACCCCTGTCTGCTTCCACCAACCACGGGCGACCCAGGGATTGGATTATGCAAGAATACCCACCCTACAGGTACCAGATAAATACCTCACTGGTAGACCTGCACTAACTCCTCTACCTCCACTACCCAGCCACCGCCACACTCCAAGATGCTTTTCGGACACATCATAAGACACTTAATACCCATCTTCCAGGATTGCCACACCATATTTGATAGGGTTCAAATATGGTTTGATCCAGGGGAACACTTACAAGGATGATTAGAGGCCGCCCAAAAAGGCTCTATCCCTCTCAGAGAGCCTGGCAAGCTACCGAGAATATCCCGCCCGCATGGCAGTGCCTGGCAAGTTATCCGTGGCATATTTGATATGCCAAAACCAGTAAATACAATAGGTCTCATTCCCCTGACCCTGAAGGAGCAACCAATACGGCAGCATTGAGAAGGATGTGAAGGAGAGGCTGATAAAATGTCAAGGCCTTGTACTCAGCTGACCTGGATTGATTCCCAGCATCCCATATGTCTCCCTGAGCACCACCAGGAGTGATTTCTGAGTGCAGAGCCATGGGTAACCTCTAAGCATCACCAGGTGTGCTCCCAAAAACAAAAACAAAAAACACCCAAAAAACCACAAGACTAATAATTTGAGTCTATAAAAACCTCTATACTTAATCTCCATTTTTACTATTTTTTTTTATCAGCACGGATATGGAGCGATAGCACAGCAGGTAGGGCGTTCGCCTTACAAGCGGCCAACATGGCCGACCCGAGTTCGATTCCTCCGCCCCTCTCGGAGAGCCCGGCAAGCTACCGAGAGTATTCGATATGCCAGACACAGTAACAACAAAGTCTCCAATGGAGACGTTACTGGGCCCGCTCGAGCAAATCGACGATCAACGGGAGGGCCTTTCTTTTCTTTTCTTTCTTTCACGGATATGGAAGATTTTGATCATTTTCACTATAGCACATGATATAAAATGAAAATAGCATTGATGATATCTGGAACAAAATAATAGAATCATATAAGGAGACAATTCTTGGGAAGTACATAGACTTTCATAAAATTACCCGGAGTCCAACTGTCCCTCTAAATTAAATTGTTACTCTTAGAGTCAGACTCTTACATTAACTTCTTGATCAATTTTTAATTATATTTAAGACCTTGGGTGTCTGAAAAAAAAACTTGGATTTCTATACAAACTAAATGAACTTAATTTAATCTTGATTAACTAGATAATAATATAGATCTTTCCCTGAGGAAATACTGGAAATATTCAATTATTCACTTCACAGGCTGGGAACAGAGTCTGGTAACTGATAAAAACTTTATAATGTGGGTTATTATCATCAAAACCAGGCAATATCACCATCATCACCACTGCTGCTCTTATTTGTGCTAATACTAGACATGAAACTGTCATCATTTACTCGCAAAAGTGTGGAAATTTATTCTTAGCATTTATCCATAAATAATCAATATAATAAAGAGTCAAGGAAAAGTGTCCTTGAGGGGAATTTGAAAGTGTGCTCTCCAGGAAAGAAGCACTAAGATTCTCAAATTCAACAGTAAATGAAATAGTTCACATATATCATCAAGCAAACTACTTCTGGCATAAGTTTAGTAAACATACTCTAATCATGAATGTTTTCTATTCTCCAGGATTTTTTTAAGGGCTAAATTGACATCCTTATTTCTTAAACTATAAATCAAGGGGTTCAGCATGGGCACAATGATGGTGTAAAACACAGAGGAGATTTTCCCTTGGCCCATAGAGTTTGCAGATGACGGCTGCAGGTATATGACGGTTAAGGAACCAAAGAAAATAGTAACAGCTGAGATGTGGGAGCTGCAGGTGCTGAAGGCTTTGGACCTGCCCTCTGTGGAGCGAATGCGGAGAATGCTGGAGAGGATAAAGGTGTAGGAGGCAAGGATGGTTAAGGAAGGGACCATAATGTTAAATGCACTCAAGATTAGAAGTATCAATTCATTGATGGAGGTGCTGGAACAGGATATTCCAAAGAGTGGAAGAAGATCACAGAAATAATGGTTGACCACATTGGTCTTACAGAAAGATAGTCTTAACATAAAACCTATATGGATTGAAGATCCAACGATACCCCATGTGTAAACTCCCATGGTGAGCAGGAAGCAGATGTGAGGGGACATGATGACATTATAGAGCAAGGGGCTACAGATAGCAACATAGCGGTCATATGCCATGGCAGACAACATATGACACTCTGCAATAGCAAAAACAAGGAAGCCGTAGAGCTGAGTCATGCATTCTGGGTAGGAGATGATGTTTTTTTGAGCCACAAAATTCACCAGCATTTTTGGGGTGATAACAGTGGATTGACAGAAATCAATAAAGGACAAGCTGCAGAGGAAATAGTACATGGGGGTGTGGAGGTGAGAACTGAAGCCTACGAGGATGATCATGCCCAGGTTCCCCACTGCAGTGAACACATAGATTCCGAGGAAGAGGAGGAAGAGCGGGAGTTGTAGCTCTGGCCGGTCTGTCAGCCCAGTGAGGATGAACTCAGTCACTGTGGAATCATTTCCAGAGCCCATTGTCCTCTTAGTGAATTCCAAAGGGAAAAAAAGCATAGTGAATATTCATGTGCATGTGAACATATAAACGTGGCGGAGGAGTTTCTCTGGGGAAGTTCATCTGGGCACCTTCATAGTTTGGGTATCACCTAAGTTTCTCCAGATCTAGAAAAGTAGAATTGAACAATGGAAAAAATTGTGGACTTCAAAACCCTCCAATTAGGAGTCCTTTTAAATTTAAAGAGAAAAAACCTATGTATAGATTTTTATATCTCACATATATCTATACATATATATAAAAGTCAGCATGATAATGGTATATTTTCACTTTACTCAGCATAATATTATGTGATGTCTATAATAACACTATATTTACTTATTTATGAGTCTGGGAAAAGTAGTGGTATCAGTTTTGCTTTTAAAATATTTTTGCTGGGACCAGAGTGATAGTCCAGTGGGTAGGTAATTTGTGTTGTACGTGGCTGACCTCTGGGTTTTACATTTCATCTGGCTCCCTGAATACTGCCAGGAGTGATTCCTGAGTGCAGAGCCAGGAGTTACCCCTGAGTACCGCCAGGTGTGACCCCCAAGAACAAATAAAAATTAAGTGTTTTTACTGAGGTAACATTGGTGATTGTCATATAGTTTTATCTGTACAGAATTGGAACTTGGCATCTTAGAATAATATAGTGGTAAATATGTCTTATTTACCACTATATTATTGTGAGCAGTTTTCCTCCCTAGAATCTCAACTAAAATAGTCAGTGGGATGGTAACCACCAGAATCTTCACCTGAACTTTTGTTGTCCTCCTGTTTAGCATCCTTTCCCAAGACCTGTGCCCCCCCCCCAAAGAAATGGTACTGCTGAGTGAACTTTGTGCCTTTCTCCCAATAGATTGCCCAGCACCCAAGGGCCAGTTTTCCAGCTTCTAATTTGATTAATCCTGGGTCCTGACCAAGCTATATTGTGTGTTTTAAAACTGGCCAGGAAGCCAGGGACTATGATTGTTTGTGGTATTTGGACTTTGTAGTAAAAGAGTTGCTTCCCAGACAACTACTCTTTTTTTTTTACAAAATAAAAGATTTTTTGGAGACAAATTCAATGTAAAGATTATGCTACTTTTAAACTAATAAAAACATGTGCTTTCCGGAGGCTGAAATATTTTAAGGAGATATTGATTAGTTGAATACATGCAAAATATAATTAGAAAGTTTCCTTTGTATTTAAGACCAGTAGGCAATGTGATTATATTTTTACAAGCCTCAATGTCTTTAGATTTGTAAAGAGAATGAACTCAAGAAAATAGATATTCATGTGTTCATACTCTAGAATGCTTGGGTAATTGTTTTAAGTCTAGATGAACAGTTGGAGAGGTAGTACAGGGGGTAGAACAGTTGCCTTGCATACAGCTGATCCTGATTTCATTCCTGGCACTGCACATGGTAACTTGAGCACTTCCAGGTGTGATTTCTGGGCACAGAGGCAGTAGTAGTTCAAAGCACTTCTGGATCTGGTTCCCAAGATCAAACAAAAAAAAGATACAATATTTTATGTGATGTAGAAAAAAATGTAGTACTTCTGAAACATGATCCAGAAATCCTTTCCTTGAAGAGTGGCTAGAATTGGGACCAGAGTCCAGTGTGTAGGGCATTTGCCTTGCATATGGTGAACCAGAATTCGATCCCCAGCATTATGTATGGTTCCCGGAGCACTGCCAGGAGTAATTCCTGAGTGTAGAATGATTCCTGAGTGCAGAGCCAGAAGCAATTTCTGAGTGCAGAGCCAGGAGTAACCCCTAACCATCGCCAGATGTGACCCAAAACAAAAAACAAAACAAAACAAAAGGCTAGAATAAATGATGCTATTTTGTGAATTGAGTTAAGGTCTATAAGACATGATAGTTTTCTCAGTGTCCAGCATACTGCTTTATTTCAGAGGTATCAGATTCATTCTGTGCTCTCTTATTTCAAGAGCAAAATCAAACTACTGGTTTGAGATTATGGGAAGAAATACTTGGGTTTCACAACATAGATAAACATGTCGGCTTTCAGAAAGGTGAGAGCAGAGAAGCTACTATTGTTGATGGACCCAGCACCCTGTGAATAGGAGGGAACATGTTGTAACTTCCCTTAAAGGTTCACTGTTCCATGATTCCATTGTACTAATTGGGTCTGGTATTACGTTAGAAAGAAATGGACTGAATTCTCAATTCCGTACTGTTAGGGGTTTATTTTTAGTTTGGGGTCACTCCCGGCAGTGCTCAGGACTTACTCCTGCCTCTGGACTCAGGGATTATTCCTCACAGGCTCGATTGACCACAAATGTCTTGCTGGGAATTGAACCTGGGTCGGCCACATACAAGGCAAGCACCCTACCCACTGTACTATTGCTCTAGCCTCCTATATTGTTTTTCTTGAAAATATTTATTTTTAGAGTTTAATTCATTTCAGTCACCATGGTTTTACAATACAGTCAATGGTAGCTTTCATGTATATAATATAATACCACCACACTCTCCATCAGAGTATCCACTTCCCTACACCACTGTCTCTGTGACCCCCAAATCCTCTACTATCCCCTCCTCCATCGTGGTAAGCTTTCTAGGGAACCTGTTCTCAGTTTCTGTGGGCATTTATTACCCCCACTATGTTTCTTGAACTCCGTGCCAGGCTGTGGGGCTGTTGAGAGCCCTCCTCACTCCAAGGGACCAAGCCCCGGTGGCCAACCTCCACTTCCCAACCATTGCCACGTTCCAGGCCGCTTTCTGGACCATGAAGTGGCTGTGCAAGACATTTTAAGAAACTTCCTACCCATTTATGCCTCTCAGAGAGCCCAGCAAGCTACCAAGAGTATCCGCCCGCATGGGCAGAGCCTGGCAAGCTTCCCATGGTGTATTCGATATGCCTAATACAGTAACAACAATAGGTCTCATTCCCCTGACCCTAAAAGAGACTATAGCCTCATTCATCAGGTACCCACCGGTGGCAGGGCCCCTTCCCGGGCCTGCGCGGCTAACCAGATGCCCTGAGAACGGCCGGTTTTCACCCTTGGTCTGAGGGGGACGGGAATTGAGGCACACCACACGAAAACAAAGCTGAACCATTCTGGGCACTCTTTCCTTATTCATCAGGTACCCGCCCGGAGACAGGGCACCTTCCCAGAGCTGCAGCCACTAACGCAGCAACGAGTTATTCTTCCACTACATATCCCATAGGAACCATAAGTTACCCTCTTACATAGAATTTCACTAGGTTAGCTTAACCACCAGAACACACATTAGCCAATAATTCATTAAGCCCATCTCAATTCATTCTGCACCTCAAGCAGAATAGTAACAGTGAGTGTGAAGGACTAAACCACACTGGTCACAATGGTAAAGCAAAGCAGAAGCCCACAAAGCTTTCTTATTGAAGAGGCTAGCCCAGAAGACACCAACAGTAATGAAGGGCTAGACAATCTCTCTGACAAGGAATTTAGAAGGGAGCTACTGAGGATGATAAGGAGCTAAAAGAAACAATGGAAAGCAATGCCAATAAAAGACAAGAGGATTTGAAGGTAGAAATGAGGAAAATGCAAACGGAAATGTCAGACCTGAAAAATCTGGTAGGCGAATTGAAAAACTCAGTGGAAGGCTTAAGCAGCAGAGTAACAGCTGCTGAGGACAGAATCAGTGAGCTCGAAGATGAAGTTCAGAGACTCTCCAGAAAAGAGCAGAAAATGGAAAAGAGACTCACAATTCAGGAACAGATGGCAAGAGAATATCGTGATGAAGCCAAGAGGGATAACATAAGAATTATTGGCGTCCCAGAGGGACAGGAAGAAAACCCTGATGAAGAAGAAACCGTCAAAGACATCATTGCTACGATGTTTCCAGAGCTGAAGAAAATATGTGACCACATTCAGGAGGCCCGAAGGGTACAGCTAGAAGAAATCCGAATTAAAATACCCCAAGACACATCCTGATCAAAATGACCAAAGACTTACATAGAGACAAAATTCTGAAAGCAGCAAGATCAAAGAAAGAAATTTCCTACAAAGGAGCATCCTTAAGATTCACAGCTGATTTGTCCGATGAAACCCTCATGGCCTGAAAACAGTGGTGGGATATAGTGAAAAAACTCAATGAAATAAATGCCTCAACAAAAATACTTTACTCAGCGAGACTCTCATTCATAACAGAAGGAACAACACACAGTTTCACAGACAAACAACAGCTCAGGAACTTCTTAGACTCAAAACCATGGTTACAAGAACAACTAAATGGGCTATTTTAAGACAAGACAGGCCCCTAAAATACACCAAATTTCAACAGAAAAAAATGAAACAACGATAATCTCTCTCAACATCAATGGGTTAAATGCACCAATTAAAAGACACAGATTGGCAGAATAGATTAGGAAATTGAACCCAACATTCTTCTGCCTGCAAGAAACACATCTCAATAGTCAAAGCAAACACAGACTCAGAGTCAAAAACTGGAAAACAATCCTACAGGCAAACAGCTCCCGTAAAAAAGCTGGGGTAGCCATCCTCGTTTCAGACCACACTGATTTCAGACTGAAGAAGGTCACAAGAGACAGTGAAGGCCATTTCTTATTGATCAAGGAATCTGTACAACAGGAAGAACTTACAATACTAAATGTATATGCACCCAATGAGGGACCAACAAAGTACTTAAAACAACTATTCATAGACTTGGAGAAAGACATTGGTAGCAACAAAATACTAGTGGGAGACTTCAACACCACTTTATAACTTCTTGATAGATCAACCAGACTCAAGCTTAGCAAGGACATATTTCATCTGAGGGAAAAAATGGAAAAAAGGGACTTAGTAGATATGTACAGGACACTTCATCCTCAAAAAGCTGAATACACATTCTTCTCAAGCATGCATAGAACATTCTCTAAGATAAACCAAATTCTGAGCCACAAAACATACCTCCATAAAATTAAGAAGATAGAGATTGTATCAACAATCTTCAGACCATAATGCGCTGAAATTAGAAGTAAATCACACACACAAACAGAAAATTAAATTAAACCCCTGGAAATT